AGCAACGCAATTCTCCTTCCGAGTGACTTCAGTAAATGATATGGGGCCACGTTTCTGATGGTTGACTGCTGTGGTTATAAATTGCATAATAATGCGAAAACACCTGTATTTCAGCAGATAAATGCGCTGATAATTTATTTGTTTGTCTAACTTAGTCTGCACAGGGCGCCTTCAAGAATCCACCTGTATGAAAGTACGTGTCTTTGGTATAGTGGACGGTACTAATTGGGTGGTTCTAAAGATTCGGACTGTTCTTTCTTCTTGGTGCTCGTTATAAGACTTGACCCAACATGTTAGACACGAGCTGATGACAGCCATGCAGCATGAGGCCATTTAATCATTGGTGTATACTGGTCCCCCTAGCAGGACGAAGCTTTCGCAAGGCCAGTCCCATAGTGAAATTAGAACATTTTGCATTCTCTCGACAGTGGCCGTCAGATAATTAGGTAGGTACTGTGGTACTTAGGCTGGATTCTTGATTGAGATGAGGAAATTTTGTTTAGCTATGAATGACTACTGATAGCAGTCCAGTTGGCGTTCTGTCGGCTCTTTATGGTGCGAGGTAGCATATGATGATCTTAATAGGGTTCATCTGAGTTGTCCAGGCTGTGAAATTATCGATGCCACAGACTTTTGCTCCTATTCGATGCTGAATAGTAAGTGGGAAGGAAGCGTCTTATCGGAGACGCTTCCTGTTTTAGGTCGCAATAACGGTTTTTGAATATCTTATCTTACTGTTTGCTTGAAAATGGTCCTCGATTGTCCTGGCCCCTAATCCATTCTGTGGAATATCGGTCTGGTTACTTTCCATCGCCAAGTCGTAAGAGTACAACCGTCACACACTCACGCTTCTTTCTCCTACACCTGACCAGTTATGAATGCTTCGTGTTTATGTGATGGAGAATCGTAATGGATGTGAAAATAGATTTGTACTGCAAGATTGACGTGGAGTCGTGGGTGTCATGTGAGTGCTTCAGTGATGTGGGTGTCAATCGGTGGTCTCGTCCAGTGATGTCGGTGTTAATCACTGGAAAGACAGATGGAAAGACGGATGCTTGATCACTGGAAACAGTGCAGATGCTTGATCACTGGAAACAGTGCAGATGCTTGATCACTGGAAACAGTGCAGTTGCGGTGTGTAGTTGCACTTAGTTCTCATGCCTTTCGGACTTGACGGTATAGTTTGCATATCCCTTTTTGTGTTGCGGTCTTCGATGACAATTCGTGATTTGACGAGAATGATGATAACAATCAATCAGTTATCCCTATCCGAATTTAAGAATGAGGATATTGGACTCACTGACTCGTCTGGTTCTACGTTGGATCTGGAAGTCATTGCACGTTTGCACACCTTTCAGAATTTAACCATGTAGAATTTTAAAGGAACCCTGAGGTTCACAGTGACCAATACTTCCCTCTGCTGGAGTCGCAGCCCAGGCATGATTTGAACGAATACGTACTTGTTGAAATTTAGTCTGCGAATGCGGGTTAGGGTTTACCCCTCTCTCTCTTTCTCTGTCTCCTTGGTTCTGTCTCTTCCTTTCTCTCTCGTTGTTTCGGTCTCTTCGCCTCTCTCTCTTTGTTTGGGTCCCTTTTGCTTGGGTTTTCTTGATGGTTGGGATTCACTAAATGTATCCCCGTCTTTGAGTTGTGTATTCCGCATTCGGGATCCTTGCTCATTCACTTCGTGAAGCCGATCGGTTTCCTGAACTCACATTCGTTCTGAACTCCTAATTCGACTGTTGAACGTCGACGATGATTTCAGTATTAATGGGTAATTTACGTCTGATGTTGATGAAACCGACTTGGGGCAGCCTTAATCTGACTGTGTGTTCCTGCTTGTAGAGGTGGATTTCTCTTTCGAGGAGCAGGGCTCTGCATATCTCATGATCTGGAGGGTGTGGGGACGCTGCAATTACCTGTTGGGGCAGACCATGCAGTGTACATTTCGGGAGAGGTCCGCAACCTTTTCTTGTTTTGTTTATTCAATCTCGATGTGGTGTTTTGTCCTAGCTGCGTACTACAAAGTCCAGTCTTCAAAGTTGTTCTGCTGTAATATCATGTATTATGCTTCTCTTTATTTGTGGGTTGGTGGGTTCTATTTAGCTGAGCTGTCCGCTTGAGGGCTCGCCCTCCCTCATGTTTGTGTGTTGGAAGTATCATGTCGATGGAGTCTACGGTCGAAATGGTGCGGAAGAGTGATGGCCAGTAATCAAAGCTGAATGTGCTGCGGGAAGTTAATGGATTTGCGTGTAAAGCTGATACCTGGGAGATGATGATTTCCATCTTTCCCCAAATGACCGACGCTGATTCCAGCCAGTGCCTTTTAAGCCAGTGAATCTGATCCCTCCTTTCAGCTTTACAGCGGTGTATCGCTATATGTCGCCAAATGTGGCCATACGTGCGCCCCCCAAACGACTTAGCTTCTATTCCTTCAGTCCGACAAGAATGTAGTCTGAGACCGACTACCGGCAATATGGCCCAGTAGGAGCGTCTGAAATAGGCTTCTTTCAACGTCAGCTCTTTAAACGACCAGTACTTCCTAGAGTTGTGCCCGTTAATGCGATTTTAGGAAACGTACCGGTACTACAGGAACGCCCAAATTCATCCGACTAGAAACGTTTCTACTCTTTTTTTTCCCGCAGCCGATAGCTGGCCACTTACTGGTGGTTTAACGAGTAGTGAAACATTTATGGAATTGTAAATATGGCATGATCCTTACCCCGGGCGCATTGACGATATTCTAGATGGTCAGTAGTGCCCTGTCGATGTGCCAGAGCAACTGTGTGCTGTGTTGCAGTTTTTTTGGATTACCCACACGAAGGCTGTGTCAAATCGGACCCAATATTGTCATTCTGGTTCTTACTTTTCCTGGACTATTATGTTGAATAGTCGCAAGGTTTGATAATGCAGAGTAGTTTGTCAAATCGGAATAGAAGTTCCAAGTTATACTTGGGATGACTTCTATCTTTCCCCGAATGATCGACGCTGCTTCAAGCCAGTGCCTCGTTCTGATATCAGTCAATTTGCTCCTTCCCTTCGCAATTTCAGCGTTATGAGGCCATTGTACAAGTGCGACATTGTACAAGAGCCTCTCCCAAACGAGTCAGCTGCTGGGGGTTTTCTGACAAGTATGTAGTTGGGATGTGCAATCTCCTGTTTGCTTGATTTCTGGGGAATGATGAAGAATGTAGATCGAAAATCTTAGGACACCTTCTTACACGGTCCCACTTGGATTGTGAATGAGAGTTTTGCAACTTCTGACCCCTTACGGTGTGTTCTCTCGAGTATATGGAGCGGGTGTATTTGTTTTGGAATGATCAGAGATATCAATCGGTCGCTGAGAAGAACCTAAGTGGTCGATCTGAAATTACCGATATGCTAGTGCCATTGGCATGATGAGACTCGGTGTCTCTCGACTGGGATTTTGGGCAGTGCCCCATGCATCAGGTCTGAATGTGAATGCAAATTCAAATGAATTAGCAGGCTAGGAATTATGAACTTGTATTCACAAGCTGAGACAAGACTACAACATTAGTTAGCATTATGACATGCTGGGGTCCCATCGGTGTAATACGAATTTTGAATATTGAGGTGTGGTGTTTGAGGTCTTCAGTTTCTCAGGTTCTGTTTATTCAAATTGTTATGCAAAGGTGGATCCGGTGTCGTGGCAGCATGGAATGCTAGTGATTGTTTCCTGGTGTGTGATATTCATATGTTAACTGGATTATTTGATCAGGTACTTTGGTGTGACGTTTCAGATAATGATTAGGGAACAATTCGAGCTGCAAGTGAATGAAACGAAGTTGACAGCGAGAGGGGATGGTGAGTAGGGGCAGAGCGTGACTTGACAGTAGATGGTGCAGCCATTGGCGAGTCTGTAACCTGCAGTGTTTTATGTTGATTACGGCGAGTGCTAGTTTGGAGATCGTTCAGAAGAGGGTCTTATGTACATCATGGTTGGGAAAGATGCCTTCATCCAAAATGGAAGAAATGAATGGTTGTTATAGCTCTATCGGGGTCGGTTTGTAGGTGGTACTTCACAATTTGTCGGAGTACACCCTGAGCGAGTTATTGTGATGTAATGGCAAGTATGTATAAACGGTTGCCGTCAATACCAGCATGATGTGATGGAGGGAAGGGCTTAAATTCCTGTCTGCCTGTTCGCATTGTGTTAAATGTTGGCGGAATATGAATTTCCAGCACTACTTACCAGCTTGCAGCGCAAGGACTGAATCCGTTCGCTGACGAGTTAAATGTATGTGTGAGCATTTAATTTGGTTTTNATTTCCAGCACTACTTACCAGCTTGCAGCGCAAGGACTGAATCCGTTCGCTGACGAGTTAAATGTATGTGTGAGCATTTAATTTGGTTTTACTCTCGAGCTTCCACCTTCTGGCGACGTCCACATCCTCCATGTCTGGTTGTCACATTGAAGAACGGGTGGTTTGAAACAAGACAAGTGGTGTCGGGCAAGTCATAAAGCGAATTGAGTGCCGAAGCGCGAGGAATCTGGACATACTGACTCGTCTTACAGGTGTGTGACATGTAGACCAGCGGCGATTACGACGGGGGCCAACATGCATCCATGTGCCCTTCTGCATGTCGACTTCGGGGAATCATGCGTGAAGGAAGTGTTGGTTCCCTGATGATGAAATTTGATGGAAAAAATGTATTAGCTCTAGCTGATGATCAGTGGTGAGAAATCGAGCTGAGGGGATAGGTCCGTGTCGTCTCGTCTCTGTTGCTTAGGGAAGTTAAACGGCATGTGATTTAATGACAATATTTGCTACTCTTGACACTTGTTGTGAATGATGTGAATTTTCCACCAAGTTCGCTGAGGCCTTGATCAACGCCACTGTTTGGCACTTTGAACTGGTCATGTGGATTGCAGTCATCTGATGAGATTTGGTCAAGTAATTCCACGTTAGAAAGGAAGGAGGGGTATCTGATGGTATGCGAAATGAGGGGAACTATGGTTATCGCAAATGTTAGTAGGTCATGGTGGAAATGCCTTGATGACTAACTCTGCGTAGATTGACTCGTGGCCGATGTCAGCTGCTGTTGATGAAGAAGTGAGAAAGTGGGTTGGGGAAGCCTCGAAATGAAGGTTGGTTTTACGCGATGATTGGTAATGGTGTACTGATACGGGATGGCTTTTTTAAATATGAAGGGGCGTATTGAAGCTCTCTTGGAGAAGAATTCCACTCTCGGGAGGGTCAAATTGAGCCCAACATTCGATGTTTTCTTAAGATCGATTCTGTGGCTGTGGCAGTCGCAGCAGTCGATGCTATGGGAGCATTACCCAGGGAAGCAAGATTTGAGAGTCTGCCAGTCCGACTGTTTTATGTCGGTCATCTTAGTTATTGAGTGGATTCTGAGACGATGGTTTTTTTGCGATAATGACATGGCTGATGTGGTATCATGGTTGATGTTTATTGTACTTCGTAGGTGACGAGTCATCGGTAGTGACTCTCCCGTTGATCTGTTACGGCATCAGAGTCGCTAGGAGGTGCTCATCCTCAAGCGACATGCATGTGGGCTCCTTCGTAATGTGTTGGCCATGCTAGTATGGTCATATACTATGTTATGGATGGTTGGCAATTGGTTTCAGGGCATGTGAGTACTTGGTGCACAGAACCCTCATGTTGTCTGGCTAGAAACAGTACTGGCTGGTTGCTTGTTGCGGTCGTGGATCTTCACTATCCTTGCAACGCACGTGCATCCGGCACATCCGAGGTTGTGTTTGTTTGATATAAACGTGTTGCCTATCCTGTAAGATTTCGTCGGCCGTTAGTGGCACTCGCTGTTCTTCCAAACCCTTATCGCCCATCTGTTTTTTTTTTCTTTTCACGGTCGTTCTTTTTGAATGATTTTCAGTCGGTGGCTGTTTTTCAATTTTTTCAGGGGGCAAGTGCGCAGGTGATGTTTACCAAATTATGATAGCAAGAAATGATGGGCTGGGTGCAAACCAGGCCATGATTCTGAGATGAACCAACTGATGCGCCTTTTACGAAATGATTCTTTGTGCACTAGTGTTGTGACCCTGAGATGATGAACATTGCACGACGGTCTACTGAACCGGCATGTTGATAATGCAGTTTAAACCCAAAAGTGTACTGATCGGGTTGTTGATGATGTATCCTGAAGTGGCAAGCGGCGTCTTTATACTATCGGGTTGAGGTAGGATATGTGAACTGAAAACGACATCCTCTTCTTTATTGTTAATATTGGTGTTTTCATGTTTTAATCATTATGATAAGGATGACTCCTATTGAGGAGCTCCCAAGGGATTATCAAAACGAAATCCTCCAGGGATTTGATAAACTACTCGAGATCGATGAATTGAAGCCCAGAACGTCAATGCCAAGGAGTGAATGATTACATTGAATGAATGGTGGTGACGTGTTTGTTCCCTGTCCAAATGGGCATATGGGAAAGCTGGTGGCAATGATGAGTACGAGATAGGGACAATCGACTCTTGATTGATTTCGGAGGTTGAGAACAAAAAATTGATGGGAATCTCTCTGATGCCATTGCCAGTGTCCCAGAGAGTGTTCGTATGGTGGACTCAACGGTACGTGTACAGGCCCTTTCGGTCGGGTATTTGTGTTCTCGGCTATAAGCTGTTTATGGGCACGGAAGCACGCTTTGGTAGATTGATTACGAATTGGCCATTTGCTTTGGTAGATTGATTATGAATTGGCGATGTTCCATAAATTGTTAATCTGTTGATATTCTGGGGGCAGGTGGGGGAAGTCTACCTGCTGAGTCAACAGTTCAGTCACCAGTCAGTCCAGCAAGACCTGCAGAAGTATAAATCAAGAGGCAGCGCCCAGCCATTCATTGATTCCGGCGTGAGCCATGCGGAAGCGCTGCCACAGCGACTTGTGCAAGGCGCAGTGGGCGAGAGGAGTCGGGGTGCTAATCAGTCGGTGCACCTGCCAGCGGGAAGGCTGTGAAAGGCTGTGTTCGTCGGTGTGGTCGGTTTATCGGCCTGAGGAGGTGATAGAATTTCAACATATATTATGTACCCTTTTTGCCCTGAGATGATTGCCTCCATTGATTTATAAAAAATAGTGGTCTGAGAATTGTGACGATCACTTGGCGCATGAGGGTTTTGTTGAGAGGAAATTTTAATGACGAACCGCCATCAGTTTTTCGACCTTGCAGTTTTTATTTCACTTGGAAGTCGTTGACGGGCTACCTAGAGGTTTCTGTTTGCTAATAATGCTCGCAGGTTAGTCCTAGGGAGTGGGGAGGACATGGATATTTAAGGACAGAAGCTTGAGGGCATGGGGAAAGCATACCCAGCACCCCTGGGAATCCGCATTGCCTACTCGCGGACCGTTGGTCCGCACCACCTGCATAGCCAAAGAAAAACTCCGAAAGACGTCTGTCAGTACCCATTTGCACCTGAGACATCACAGACCAAGCGGGCTCAAGGTGCTCATTCCGGTGCAGATTGTGTATGTTTGTGAATGGTGTGGTTGATATGGCATATGCGAAGTGGCCTTGATGATGTTTTAACCATGCTAATTCTGACGACTCTATGGAGACAGGAAAATTTCTGCAAATCTGAAAGGACCTGCATATTTTTGTGGTTGCAATCACGTTTTGAGAGTGATTGGTAGTTTCCAATTCAATTGCTCTTATATCTATGTCCTTGAGCGTTTGTAGTTTCCATTTCTTGTGCTCGTGAGTTCTCTTGCCGATCATCAAGTGTGGAGCATGAAAATAACGGTAGAATTCGAGGTAATTTGGCAAAGGTGTGGGTAGTTATATAAGTACGTGAACAATTTTGTCAGCTAGGACGAGGTCTCGAGGATAAAGACAAGTTTGACGGTCTTCTGAGATATTTTGGGCAATGATGATATACCTTGTCTATACCAGTTCTGCTACTGATCCAAATGAGAGACAAAGACCAGAATGGAAATCTGAGCCCAACAGCTTGTATTAATGGTTATGTAGGGTCTCTGGGCAGTCGTGGTTGGCCCTCGATTATTGTCCACGGGTTAAATCATGTCGATTCAGTAATGAGAGCTCAAACTCTCTGATCTTTTTCTTTGACTTCCTGTTTTGATTGGGGGTCGTCAGTCCGGTTGGTATCAGGGGCGTCAGTCCGGTTGGTATCAGGGGCGTCAGTCCTGTTGGTATCATCGGAGGGCCTCTCGATTTGAAAAAAATCGAGTTAGAGTTGGTATTTCTTCTGGCCGGTGATGATGAATAGCGGATTTCACTGAAGTCTCTTGACTCAAGATACGGAAATTGTTGTTACACATTCTGAGGCCTTGTGTCATCATGGTACGACATGTGAGGGGGAAAAGTTTGTGGAATCCTAATCGTTCACCCTGGGGAGGGTATACGGGCATTTCTCTATACTTAAAGGACTTGCCTGTTGTTCAGAAATTGTCCGCGTTGTCCAGGTCGGGAATTCTGTCTGTTGCAAGACGCTAGTTGTGCACATCCCTCTAGAAGGTGGTGGATGTCCGACTACGAGTTGCAATTTCCTTGGCGTGTGATGATTAATAGTCGATTTCATTGAAGTCTCCGGACTAAGGCACTGCCGGTAGCGCAGGGAAAAACGTGTTTTATGGACTTTGCTCCCTGCTAACGGCCAGGGCTACACGGTTGCTATATTGTTTCCTGAACAGGAAATTTTAAATTGAAATTCATTTTCAAAAGAGCTGGGTGTTTCCCGAGCCAGATTGGAACAGATTCCCTGCTTCGATGTCTGATGGTGGAAGTTCTTCTATCGTGCTTAGATAGATTGAATGAAAGTTTTTAAATCTCGAGTGATTATGGGGAATGGGATACATCTGCTGAGCGGGCTGTCTTTTTCGTAAGACCGGGCACCCATGTACGAGTGTCCCAACATTGAACCAGGCAGCGTTTCACTTGGTGGCTGTCTGCTGTCGGCTACTGAGGTTGAATCTGGCTGACCTTCACTGCCTTTGAGTAGACATAGCGAGTTGAGCAGTGTTGCCAGTGTTCTTCGTACGGCTACTAGGTGAGGAAGGGCTTTGTTGTGGCTGTTATCAGCCTCCGATCTCCGTTCCTGCTGGAGAAGCCTGTAATGAAAGCCTCTTGCCACGGGGGTGGTAGCATCATGAATGCAATGACCATTTACGTCAGTAGGTGGCTTATATCGATTCTTCTCCCTTCGATAGGAAGCTGCGGATCATAGTTGAATCATTGTCTTGCAGTGCCTTTAGGGGTGATGACATGAGTTTCAATTGGGAATTGACGTCTTGTTGTGAAGGGGCGGGGTGTAAAAATTTAGCTGCGAAGATGCAAATGCTTTTTGTCCTGTTTCTGGGTGTTTGACATGAGCTTAATTGTGATGAGCGCAAAATTTGCTGTTAATGAAGGTGCAAGGTAAGCCCGTCGTGGTCATGTTTGCGATGATGATAAAAAGCTGCTAATTCTGACACCTCTTGTTTGAGAGGATTATCCTCTGTGAACGCGAATTGCTTCAGGTAACACCTGAGCCAACATGACCCATGATGAAATGTTTGTTTAGTTTTTTGCCGGCTGCACCTCGTTCCATGCTCTGAGGGATTTACCAAAAATTGGTTTCAGGATTCCGCACAATGCATGGTGATATAATGAAACGAAAGTCACAAATAGTGACGTGAGGTGTGGCGACCATGTTGCGGCAGACCATGCAGTACACGATTCGGATAGTATGCATAACATGTATAACTTTCGTAGCCGTCGTCGTTGTTTTATTTTATCTATCTGTCTGGTGAGCTTGCATGGACAGCTTGGCGCAGTTGCAGGGCTGCATTGCCGGTCATCACGGTCGGTCAGTTAGCAATGTTCCGAAGCGAGGTGTTTTTGTGAGAGCAGAATTGTAAACGACCAGTCTGATGTGAATGCAATTTCAACCGAATGATCGGGAGTATGATGCCGGGCCGGCATCATCTCCCTGCTCTTCGGAGCAGCCTTTTATGTGGCTGTATGTTCCTGCGCAAAGGTCAGAATTGAAAAAACATGGTTGTTGAGGAGGCTCTCTTGCGAGCAGGGCTCTGCATATTTCATGATCCAGAGGGTGTGGTGAAGCCGCAATTACCTGTTGGCGCAGACCATGCAATGTACACTTCCGTAGAGGTTTCCCCAAGCCGCAATGAGGTTTCCCCAAGCTTCCGCAAATGGTCCAATCCACAAAATTGTTCACTGTAATTTCTTGTATTCTGCTTCTTCTTTACTTGTATTCCGATTCCATGTGAGGACGTCATCATTGCGTTCCTCGGAACTTTTTAGCGGAGCTTTCCGCTGAGGCTAACCCTCTCTCGTGGGTCTGCGTGCTAGAAGTATCATGTGGATGGATTCTACCACCGGAATGGTTTGGAAGCGTGATGGCAGTAATTTTAATCTGAACAGGATTTGCCGGTAAATTAGATACCTGGGAGATGATGATTTCCATCTTTCCCCGAATGATCGACGGTGATTCAAACCAGTGCCTCGTTGTGAAGCCAGTGAATCTGATCCCTCCTTTCAGCTTTACAGCGGTATGTCTCTGTACGTCGCCATATGTCGCCATATGTGCCGCCCCCAATGACTCGGCTTGTATACCAGCAATATGGACCAGTATGTGCACTGTAGAATGGATGTACAGCGGGAGGTGGTGGTTTGTCTTCTAATCATGTGTGGTTGCAATGATGAAAACTTCTTTCTTCAAGCTCAACAGGACAGAGGGTTTAGTCCCGATGCTGACTTACCCCGCAGATTTGAGCAACCCTATATGCATATTGGAAAGATGTCTTTCTGTGAGCAGTGTTGGTCGCTCACTGCTCGATAGAATTTGTATGCGAAGAGGTCAACACTATTAACGTGGTCCAGCGCATAGCGGGTGTGCAATGGCCCCGGGGATGGCACCGGAATCGAACATTGCTTGAAAGCCAATCCTCAGTCTGATGTCGATTTGCTATGTGCAATGGCCCCGGCAATGGCCCCGGGGATGGCTCTGGAAAGTGCTTGAATTTTTGGCTGCGGTTTGCTGGAATGTACCTGCCTTGGCTTTGCTTCCAACGATTGGGTTAGCGTTTGGGAACTTGGCCGATGATGACTGAGAGCTGTGCACCACACCGAATGCCATGTGGATAAAAAGCTTACTACCCATAAGAACTGAGGTCAGCTAGTTGTCAAATCTGATGAATTATGCGCATCATACCAGATGGGGTACTGAGTCAAATCTGAAGAAATATGCGCATCGTGGGACAGGGCGAACTGTATCTTCAGTGAGCGCACTGATTGCAGGACTTGCGGTGGCGTTTGCAATGTTTGACTTACGTGGTGACCTAATAAGCAGTCCTCAGGACTTACGTGGTGTTGTCCACGAAGGGACGATTCCTGTCCTTTTTGGAGACCAAGGACGGGAATTCACAATGTTTCTCTATTTAGAGGTGAGGTCCTGTTGTTGGTTGTCGTTTGGAGTGATGGACTCTCAACCATAGACCTGTCGCATGATCTTAGTTGTCAAGGATAAGAAATGTGTTTGTCTTGTGATCCTATCAGATGCCAGATGGATAGTTTAGTTTATGAGGAGCAGGTGTCTAAATTCTGGATGTGAGCTGCATCTGGCTGTCGATCAACAGTCATAAACTTCTCTAATCTGGTGTGCAGGGAACTCGGCCTTCCTGGCAATGCTGGCCTTGGATCATTAATATGAGGTTCACGTCCTTGTTTTATGAGGTGATGTCTGAACCTGTGCGTTTGATATATGGTCAATCTAACCACACTGATCTTTGCATCAGCTGTTGCTATTGCTTTTGGTTCCTAATTTCTGGATGTGAGCTGCATCGGGCTGTCAATCATCTGGTGTGAAGGGAACTCGGCCTTCCTGGCAATGAGGGCCTTGGGATCATTGATATGAGGTTTTGCCATTTGAAGTGATGGGAACCCACATCCGAATGTGTTGTGTGCACAGAAGGGGATGTCCTTAAAATATGGTTTTTGAGACGCAAATCTGGTACAGGGCGAGAGGATGAAGGGGTGTAGACATTCAGGATCCGTCAGGCTYAGAGTTTTCTTCCGTCGAAAACCAGCACAGTGCGACTGAGGATGTSGATGATGACCGTCGTTATTTGCAGTGTGTTAAATGTTGGCGGTATATCGAACTCCGAACCCTCTTCTTATGAACTGATTTATGATCGGGTTCACTCACCTGCAAAGGAGAACGTTGTGACTTTGCGGGTTTCGGACCAGCGGTATAATTTCACGTGTTTGAACTTGGAAACAGACTCGCTTTCTTTCACATTTCACATGCATACAAACAGGTGTGCGGCAAACTGGCGACAAGTGCCCACTCAGAACTCAGAGATATGGTAGGCTGAGGACTACCGGTAGGGATCAAGCCCTGGGATCTGCATCGGCTACTGCGAACTGGTGAATACCGTTTCACGTTGTCTGCTTAATTAATGGCTATGCAAGGAAACACTCTGCCCAGCACTGATTATGTGTGCTGTGTGCAATTTATGTCCTAGCGAAAGCGATTTATGATCGGGTTCACTCACCTGCAAAGGAGAACTGTGACTTCGCGGGTCTCGGACCAGCGGTATAATTTCATGTGTTTGAACTTGGAAACCATTTTGAAAGCGGGTTGTCGATGCCAACGGGCGCAGCAACCGACTTCCGGCTTTTAGAAAATTCCTCTTGTGAAGGGAATAATGGAGGCTGATTGCACACTTGTCCTGGGACCGAAAGGCTCATTGGACAGATCCAACGGAGTGTGGACCTGGAGCGCGTGCTGAAAAGATTGACGTCTTTGGCGGTAGCTCTCTCCTAAGGCCGACTAATTGCGGAGCTATGGTTAGTACTTAATATAGGGTTAGTATTTGAGGTAGGGTTAGTACTAGTGTCTCTTTTGTGGATTCTGAACATGGCGGACAGCGGATGATCAGCCACATGGCATAATATTCTCGCGATTGGAAGTAATTGTGAGCAATTGGAATAATTGTAACAGAGCGTGTAGTGCGGACATGGAGGGGCGCGCCTTGTGGTCGGCAGTGGGCGGGTGATTGTGAAATGCACCGGTGCTATGAGATGGGGAGATGGAGGTCTATTTCCAAAGACGAATGCTGTGTGCGACTTCTGGAGTAGGAATGAGATGAGGGTCTTGAGAGTCTTTGCCTGTTTTAGAGAAAGGTTCTGGAGTAGCAAAGAGATGAGGTTGTAATGAAGGTCGTCTACCGAAAGTACGGACCTGTCACTGGTTATCAGTCGGTATTGGTCTCCGAGCCTGAATGGAGAGCAGCCTATCGAATTGATTAGGGAAAGTGTTTGATGATTCTGCCCTTGATTAGGGAAAGTGTTTGATGATTCTGCCCTTGTGCATTACCGAAACTTTGCGGTCGAGGACAGGGCAGAAAGTGGAAGATCCATTTTCGTTCCAAGCCAGTTAATCATATCAATTTATCACGCAATTCAATAATCAATCGATAAGATGGCCAATCGACCAATCCCAGGCGTTTGCACAGGGTTCCGATGGTTACTGAATCATTAGTAATCTGATAATAATATTGGTAGAGTAGGCGTACTTCCTGTAGTTGTAAGCTTTTGGGCGGTTGGTAAAATAGACGTCGTTCTGTAGATGTAAGCTTTTGGGCGGTGAACATGGAGAGGAGCCATTCTGAAATGCTTGTTTTGCGATGATGATTCTTACTTGCCGATCCCAATGGCGGATATGTGTCCTGTTTGAATGGAATCTGAGCAAGGATGCTTTGAAGTGTTTTCATCGATTTGCTGAGTTGAATTCAGCCGATGTTGTGACTGATCCACTCAAAGGGACGACACAGTAAAGTAGGCAGATATGCGTTGTTAACTTGGTAGTAATCGTTTGCTCAAGGATGATACAGATGACGAGA